CCCCCCCCCCCCTTTCTTTTGTCAGGGCCAATCGATTCCTCGTCTTTTCCCTTCTTCTTTTTCTTCTTTTTCTTCTTCTTTTTCATTTTTTCTCGTTGAATCCAATTCTTCAACGAGAAAAGGAAATTCTTCTTACATTTTACTTTAATTATTTCGATATCAAATGATTCACACGATTTGAAGTAATTTTCAAATTTTCAAGTAAGTTAGATGCGCTTATTTTCATAGCTGTCGATAAATCATCGATAATCACCTTCCTCTGTAATTTCAAATTCTTCTTCCTTTTTCATTAATTTCGAAGATCGAAAAATATATATATATACGACGATACAACCCACGAACGGTTAGAGAGTATGACGTTATCGCGAAGTTTCCGTTTCGTGAAAACGGGGAACGATGGAAGAGAAACGTGAAAGTGCGCCGGCATTTTATGACAGGTGTAAACGCATTCCTTGGTGGGTTGGCGCGTGTACGACGTCGTTTAGGAACAGAGATCTGTGCGGGAAATAGCTCGTTCGATGGTTTACGGGCGTGCCGTGGCCACGGTTCTGCAGAGAATTAAATGGACGACAGATACAGCCTCGTGGCTCTCGAATTTACGCGAGACAGTGGCTGCCATCTTTTCGGTTGAAAGGTATTCGAACTTTAGGCGTTTTCCTTTCGAATTCTTATTCGACAATTTCTTACTCGAATCTTGGAAAGTTTTAATACTTTCACAGATTGGAATTACTTCAAGTTGGGGAAAAATTTGTATATCTTCCAATTTAACCTTCTTTTCAATTTCTCAATCTTCAGAATTTAAATCTCGATCTCGACTTCTCTTTAACCAATACAGATATCCGAAATTCAAATTATAGGTATCTGCAACAACGCAGCTCAACGCCGTTACAAGCCTAATCACCCGAAGCAAAACGAGTCTTAATGTATTCATACACGCGAGCAGACGATCGCACCCTCCTCCGATAATGGTCGTTCTTCGTCGCGGGCCATTTTGTCGAATTCGAGCAATTAGTCCGCTGAACAACGGCCACCGACGAGTAGTACGAGTAGTCGGAGGATTGGAGGGGCGCGGGACATCAGGCGTCCAAGTGGGGAAGGGGGAGAAGAACAGAAAGAAGAAACAAGAAGAAGAGCTTAAGAGGAACGGAAGTTAAGTCGAAGTATCATTAACCTGGTGGAGGTTGTTGTTTCGTTAATGAGATGGCCCACCTGGACGCAACCTGGACTTGTAAGCTGCTTCTTATCATCCTCCTGTTCTTGCGCTTGATATTGTAACAATATGTGTCTGATATATATACGTACAGGTGAGTTGATTTTTTTTTCTCTTATTAAAGTTCTCTTTTTAACATTTAGATATAAATTTTTATATAATCAAATTATAATATAAAATTGTACAATTATACAGTTTTATATTATAGTGTAGATAGGTTGATCGATGAATTTTTCCTTTTTAGTATTTACACGTTCAATTTTTTTAATTTCGAGAAGATTTAAAAATTGAAATTCGAGATGCGTAAGTTTTAATTCGAGTGGAAAATAAAATATAAAGAAAGTAGCTGTGGATATATAAATATATAATATTTCAAAATTATCGTATCGTGTTTCATTCTGAAAATTTTATCAGAAAAATTAAATAATTAAACGAAGTGAAACGTGAATAATAATATTAGAGAATATATGAATATTTATCATTTCTACAAACATCTCACTCTCGTTTTATACGAGCAAAATCTCTATGTTACCGGTAGCGCAGATCGAACAAAATATTAATTCACAATTTGGATATTTATTAGTTCAAATATCTAACGATATTAGGGGACGTGTTTACCGTTATACATACCATCAGCACACGTAATTATGGTCTCTCGTTTCGGATATACGGTGTATAACGGTGGCTCTGAAACGAAATCGAGGCCGTGCGCGAGTTATTAGCGATCGCATTTACCAATTACCGACGGAACTATATCGGATTATCGTTCATTGCGGCCAACGTTAAATAATAAAATTCACTATGAGCTTGCTCCTCTCGCCGGGCTTAGGGTTTAAACGAGCTCGAATTTTTCCATTTTAGGAGGGGATCGTTTAATTCGATCAACATGAAATACAAATTATTATATATATAATTCACGCGAGCGTGAAACGTTTCACAGAACACGGTTTAATAACGGTTGTGAATGAACAGTTTCGAGGTTACACTCTCTTGCGGTGTGAAAAGGAGCTATGATTCCGAGAAAATTGCGTTTTCATTGTTGTTTTCATCGTTGTTACAAAAGAATTGAAAATATTGTTTTTACGAATTATGTCGAACGGCACAATGAATTTGCTCTATATTTGGTTTTCGTTTTTCTTTTAGTTAGTTTTTTTGTTAGAATTTTCTTTGCCATCTTTGCAGTTAATTATTTGTAATTAAATTTAGGAATAATATCTCAATATGTGTAATATCTGTTTATAATATTTTTGGTACTTATTTAATTAAATAGATTGTTAGTCGAGTTTCAGAGATTTTGTTTAGTAAAGAGATTGGTAAATATTCAGAGAAATATATTTCGGAAAGAAAAGCAATGAAAACTATTTTTTGTTTTTATTAAAATTTATAAGATAATTAAGTATATGCAAAATATATATAAAAAAATTTTATTATGTTTTTATTTGTGTTAATAAAAAAATTTTAATTTTAATAAATCGAATTATGGATAATCAGAATATTGATTAATAAAAATTAAATTTATTCAGAATCACAAATTCCATTCATAAGGAATTTTTTAACGGATAAATTGTTCCCAAAAGAAACGATGATACGTTGCAAGATTTTTTAAATTTGCAATATTCGATAAACAAACCGCGTTTGATTTTTTATTTCGAGGAAAGAAGATGGTATCGCGTTAATTGAAAATGATCAAAAGGAGAATGAATAGACAGTTTAATCGACCCGTGTCGGGCACGAAAATATCCGCTTAATTTTAAAGAGAGCGCGTAAATCACTTATACCTCGCGAAAGTACGATAAATTGAACGGAAACGGGCCTGTAATACGTTTACGAAATACCAGGGATATTCCCGATGAAAAATGAATTCCAGAGTCGTAAAGCAAACTTACGATCGGTGGAATAAATTCCATCGATCTAACGTGGTGGTTCTTCGTTGCATCGTTGCAGTTTCATCGGCGATGCAATTTTTTTCCCTCCCCCCGTGAAAATATTTTTACGCGACATCGATCGTTTAATAACATCGAGTTATATCATATTCCTTTTTTTCGAATCTATCTTTCGAAAATGATAATTCAAAATTGATTGTATAATTGATATAAACTGTTATTTTGTAGATTTGCGATATAAAGAATAATATAAGAATAATTATATAAATAATTATATAAATAATAATTATATATATAAATAATCATATAAGAATAATATTTTAGATATAATATATCATTGAATAGAATAATGAATTGATTTATTTTTATTCACAATTTTCATTATTTTTCTTTCCCAAGGAAAAATGGTGAATTCCAAAATTAAAGCAATGCTGTATTAATAAAATAGAATAGAATAACAGGATAGATATCAAACACGGGATGGAATAAAATAATAAAATTTTCGTTATAACATTAAAACATCATCCTTCTAACGAAATAAATAATAACAAGAGAATTGAAGAGACTAAGAAGACAAGACGCATCGCGATATAAAGTGGAAAATTTGCAGACTCGAGCAAACGCGACAAAGGATTGGCGTATCAATCGCGATAAACGAACGATCAATCCCACCAATTCTCGAGGGTGGATAATAGAAGGTTAGAGCAAAAGTTAGAATCCCGATTTGGAAAGATTTAGCGTGGTGGGTCAGCCAAGGTTCCTTGTTCCTTCGTTCTTGGCGCAACAAGTGCCTTTTTCGTAGCGGCCTCGTAAAATCGTTGCGCGAGCCCGATCGTTATCCAGAAAATTAATCAACCACGTCTGGCGGAAGGTAACCCTAGAAGCTAACGAGGCGAAACTTCGTTAGCCTTAAAGCGCGCGAATCACGAGATTCGTGGTATCGGAGAGTGCTCTCTTCCAGCTCGTAATAATCGACACCACATCGTTAAATCGCGGCTTGGGACAATCGAAGAAACGCCACTTATGCTCCGAAATCTCGTAATTTCGATCGCTTTCTCGAGAAAATGGGAATAATTGATAATTTTAGTTTTTTTTTTTTTTTTTTGGAATAAATTAATTTCATAATTTATACTATAAAATTTCATAGCTTTTAATTCATTCTCGAGAAAAAGGAAATGGAAATAATTTGATGAATTTCAAGAAAGGGAGTTTAAATTGATCATTTTGGAAAATTTGTATGGAAGAATTATTTCTTATTAGATACATTAGATCGTTCTTAAAATTTTTATTTCTTTGGAAAAATAGAAGAGGAATTTTTACAAGACAAATGTGACAAGATGAATGGAAATACTTTGGAATAATTAGATCGTAATCGATTCTTCACCGATCAATTTAATCGATCGATGCGACTCGCGCCTGAATCGAAATTTTATTAAGTTTGCACCGTTGTAATTTCGTCCAAACAACTGAATCGTAAGAAACAAGATCAGATACTTATTTCGAAGATTCAATTAATCTACCAATTTAATCAATCCAAGGAACAAATATACATTTTCGAGTTTCGAAACTTCTACCCTCGTACGGAACAGGATTCATTCCCAATTGTTGGACGATCTTTCGAGGAAACGAGTTTGCGAATAGCTTGGCGAAATAGCTGCCCGATAGATAGAGAGGGATGGAAGGGGGATCCGCTTGTGCAGAATGTTGATCGAGGCCCGTAGATATTTTGATGAGATTCCTTTTGAGCGACGTATCCTTAACCCTCCCCTCCTCACTTCTCGTTCTCCACTCTCGTGGCCCGTCAAAGCGGAGTGTAATAATTTGCGCGCACGAAACAGCTGCATATACACGCTACACCACGCCACGATATGCATGATATACTACAAACGCCCGCTACGTACGTACAGATATTACTCGTATCGCGGGGGCGGCCCAACCATCTGCATTACCCTCCAAAACCCGCGATTAACCCCTTTACAATGTGGATACAAAGTGGAATTTTTTTTTCTTTTTTTTTAGAAGCGATAGACCATTCTCTTTATAAACCGCATTGTCGTTTGTTCGTTCGTTTGTTCGTGGTAAAGATCGCATTCGCACGAACGAATAAATCGTAGTAGGGTCATAAGTCATAACTTACTTAATTATTCGTTATTAAGAAAGGTATTGCGAATAACGAATAAGTGAGATAACGAGACAGATAACTTTTAAAGCGAAAAATTTTATCCAAGTGAACCAAGTATTCCCCTTTTTTTTTCAGAATTAAAAATAGAAATAGGATGTTTGATCAGGTTTGAACAGGTTTGAAGAAGTTTTTCGAGAAGGTTTGATCAAGTTTGAAGAAGTTTTTCGAGAAGGTTTGATCAGGTTTGATCAGGTTTGAAGAAGTTTTTCGAGAAGGTTTGATCAGGTTTGATCAGGTTTGAAGTGGATTCGACGAGGAATTATCACTACTTCACCGCCGCGCGACATTTTTCCTCACTTCGAACGCGAATTTCGAAATTTACCCTCGTAAAATTACCCTCTGCAACGTAACGCGCAATATTTCGCAGAGTTTCGCCGGCTAATTCCGCATTACCGGTAAATACGTTTGTACGGGTCAAGAAGGCAGAAAGGGAAGGGACGATAGGAGGGAAGGAAAAACGCGGAAATACGCTTGTTCACGTGTAAAACTACCCCCGAGGATACGGCCTCGTATAACTCAGCCAACGTTGGAAGCCGTGGTCCAACGTTTGTGCGCGGCGGGGTTGGCAACAAATCGCGTTGGCCGGTGTACTCGCGTATTTTCCGTGTAACGTGAAATTACTTTGCCAGCTTGGTTGCGAAAGTTGCACGCGCCTCTGCTTCGATAGCCGTTGCCCGTTTCCCCCGTTATTGCGAAACGCCGGGGTTACTACGCACTACCCCCCCATCTGTAAATCTCGCCCTATTAAAACAAGGAGCGGAACCCTTCTCGAGCTTCTCCTTACGTTCGTGTTGGGACGACGCGTTCGTGAGGCTGTATCTCCGAGATTTGTGGTTCATTTGTCTGGAGAAGGGGAGAGAAATGGTTGATGAAGGTGCGGAGAAGTTCGCGCCGTTAATTGCTTTCGGGGTAAATCAGGAATTACTGTTATCGGGTGAAAGTTGTTGTTGTTGGAAGCGAAATTGCGTAGAAAAATATGCTATGCGTGAGAGAATAAAAAGGAAAAAAAGGGGGAGCGTGATTATA